TCCATCTGCTACCTTAATTCTAAACCTATAAATATATGTACATAGATATATTTCCCCATCATCATATATAAATATATTTACATATGTACATGCCTATATTAGACCTCTATAAATGCCCTTTGCCTATTAGTTCTTTCCTCTATTTCTTTTGATTTTCCTCTTGTCCCACTATCATGCTCAGCCTTCATGTGGGTTTCAGTGACTGCTCTGTCACATTGCCCTTGCTGAATCTCTACCAGGCATCTGCTACCTTAATTCTAAACCTATAAATATATGTACATTGATATATTTCCCCTTCATCATATATAAATATATTTACATATGTACATGCCTATATTAGACCTCTATAAATGCCCTTTGCCTATTAGTCCTTTCCTCTATTTCTTTTGATTTTCCTCTTGTCCCACTATCATGCTCAGCCTTCATGTGGGTTTCAGTAATTGCTCTCGGTTACATTGCCCTTGATCACGCCCTACCAGGCCTCTTTCACTCTCCTCGCCATAGATTTTGTATCACTTGTTCTTCCCTTGTCCCTGGGTTTGTTAACACCCACTTCCTTTCCCCTACCTCCCCTTCTCCCATGTACCCCGCCTATCTTATCTAGATAGACCTGCAGAGATAATGAAATTCACAAAAAATAAGACAGAGCAAAACAAACCCCAACAAAAGAAAACAAAACAACAAAAAAACAATGAAAAAAGAAAAAGAAAAGAAAAGCCTGTAAATAGTTCAAGGTCTGTTTGTTGACCTTTATGAGTGTTTTCCAGTCAATTCTGATGGGCTGCCATGCCCTGGCCCCAAAGCCTATTTTGGTATTCCCCTGTGACCTCCTTGCTCTGCTCCGCTTGCTGTTCTGTTGCACACCCTTCGTGTTTTGCCTTGGTGTAGTGGGTCAGATAGGGCGCAACTGCCGCACTGTGTCTCCAGTGTAAGACTGTAACTTTTTACGGGAATAGAAAGCCTCATCTTTCTCCCAAAGAGCAGCTAGTATTTTTGAACTGCTGACTTTAGCAGCCCAACAACTACTATGCCACCAGGGCTCCTTTCAAACCAGGATAAGGACTAGGAAAACACCATTAGAAGAGGCCCACTAAAAGAAAATGACCCTGAGATTACATGGCTCATTTTTAGGGTCACCCAGCTCCTTACAGACCTTTTCTGCTGCCTGCCACCAAACAAGCAAAAAACAAACAAACAAACAAACAAATTCACTGTCATCGAGTTGACACTCATAGTGTCCCTATCGGACAGTGTAGAACTGTCCCTGTGGGTTTACAAGACTAATTCTCTGTGGCAGCAGAAAGCCTCATCTTTCTCTCTCAAAGCAGCTAGTGGGTTAGAACTTCTGACTGTGTGGTTGGTAGCCAACACAACTATGCTCCCAGAGCTCCTGTACTGCCTGTCATAAGCACATCTAATAAGAACAAAGATGAACTGGGAGGTTGAGCAATGTCCTGCTTCTGCCTTGTCACAAGATTGTCTATGATTGAAGTGTAATTGCTCCCTTTCCACAGCGCCACAGTAGCTGCGTGCTTTAAAGGCACCCCTTGAAATGGTAGACAACCAGATGGATTTTGAATGAGAACTGCCAGCTTCTAAAAACAAACCCTCACGCTGCTGCAAAGCCTCTTATAATCATAAAGTTTTCGAAATAAAAAGAAAGTTGGACTTACCAAGTCAAACTTCCTAGTTTGTGGAGAAGTTGGAAAGCACTCATACCAAAATAAGAGATTGGAGGCTTTGCCAGGTAGTAGAGCTGATTTCTATCTATTTACCAAGCTCACGGTAAAAACCAAGTGGTGCTGGGTGCACACAGACTCCCACATGCACACATTATCAGCATGGCCATGTTCTTCCCAGTCCCTGCACCTATGACACTGCTTGACAGATGGCGGATACTTCATAAATATTCATTGAAAGTACGATTGGATGGTCCCTTGGGGGGAGGAGGGTATTCAATAGAATGAATCTGCTGTATTCTGCCCTGAAGGGAGTGTGGTTATCAGAAGCCACAGCGGAGGCAGACAGGGACAGAAGCACCTCCTCCAGGAGTGAGTCTTGCTCTGGGATGGTCTACTCTGTCTCAGGGACATTGGCAACCTCCCAATGCCTCGGCGTAAGCAGAGCCAGACCCAGGGTTGCACTGGCGAGCCTAGCTCACCCTAGCCTAGAAGACCCAAATCTATAGTAGGAGGTAGGGTAGCGTTTCTAGAGCAGATGGATTATCCTTGCTGTGGCTCAAGAGCAGATAGAGTGAGAAGGTATTCAACTGAATCTCTTAGGAATACTTGTCTAAATCTCAGGACTTTGTATCTCAGGTAAAGGATATAGCACAAAACCCAGTGCTTTGGTAGTAAGAATGGAGTGGCTGTCCTCACCAAGCCCCCCACCTCCCAAATGCTAGCAGAAGAAGAGCAGCCCAGCAGGAGATGCCGCGGAGTCCCCATCCTTCTCCTCATGCATACTCTGTACCTCACTCCTCCTGGGGAAGCAGTGCGAGGTGGCAGCGCTCCACCCCCGCATCTAAAACACACTTGAATGGTTGCTTGGAGCAGGGCAAAGGTGGTGAGCACGTGGCAATGCTACTCAAAGGCCACTGACTTGGCACATGCTCCTGACCGAGGCCCTGACTTAATCAGTTGGCTGCTGGTAGGCTAATGGAAGAAGGCCTCCTCCGGACTGGGAGGTGGAGGAAACCTGCAAAGTGAGGAGGCCTCTGGGACAGCCACCCTGTGGTGCTTCCAAAGAGGTTGAGCTCTCCACTACCCTCTACTGCTTTGTGGGACGCCTCTGGCTGACAGGGAACAAGCCCAGAAAGGCGACGTGGCCTGGGGCTTTAATTAGTGCTTATGGCATAAGAAAGAGCCTGCAAAGATAGTTGTCAGCCATGGTGTGGGTCCCTCTGGGCCTGCAAGGGTGGGGCACAATACAGCCCCAACCTCAACTGGCACTGGGAGAGCCCATTGCACAGTGAGAAGGGTAAGGGACAAGTCCACCTGTTCTTCTGTGCGTCAGGTCCTTGGCCCCCTCCTGGCCCTGTCCTGCCCAGCCCAGGCTTACCTGAACGATGAAGCCCGTGGAGGAGCACTGCCGGACCCAGAGGCTGAATTTCCTCTTTTTCCTCTTCCGTAGCTCCCTCTCTGTGCATGTGGCAATGAATACTGGGTCCTCGTCAATCAGCGGTTCATGTAGCACCTACCAGGAGGTTGGGAGAAAAATTGGAGATATTCAAGAAATGCACCATGATCCTAAATTCAGCTTTTTGCCACAGCTGTGAGACCTCGGGTAAGTAAGGTCGCCTCACTGAGTCTGAGTTGCCTCATCTCGAGAAATCACATTATATCTACACGAGTGTTTTAAAGAGGAGTAAGAGAGCATTGGTATGTGAAGCACGTCACATAGGTCCTGACATAGAGCCACTAGTCAGGAAATGGTGCCCAGCTCCAACTGTCACTTGGTGCCCCTGCAAAGGCACCCATTCCATTTCAAAGAACTCCTCTCCCTCAATTGACAGTACCAATTGCTAAAATGTTTTCCCTCCCTGACTCAGAATCCACCCAGTTTTAACCAAAACTTGTTTATCTGATATCTGCTTCAATGAGAATCAAAGAAAAAAGCATGTGTAGAATTTCTTTAGGCATTAAAGACGGTTCTCGTGTAGGCCCACAATCCCTCCTTCCTAAGGAAACCCATCCTCGTGTCTTCTTGCAATGGCAAAGCCCTGGAGCTCTGCTCCAGGTCACCAAGGTCCATTCTCGCCTAGTCCAACTGACAGTCTACAAGGTCAGACGATGGCTTCAACAAGAAGACCAAAAAAATAAAACGAGACAGCATAGCTACAGGGTCCAAAGGAGTCGTCGAAATCTTGGTTCTTTAAACTAAACTATTGGGAGCCTGTGGGAATACTTCAGGAACTTGCCACACTTCACTTTGCAGTTCTATTATAAATTTAATTACAAGCTAGCATGCGTGGTTATAGCTAACTGACATGCAGTGTCAGCAACGATGTCATTCCCAGGACTTCTCCTAAAGCTCCAGCTCACTCACACGTTGGCAAATCCAGCCTAATCCAGCCTGCCATCTGCTTTTGTAAAGAAGGTTTTATGGACACGGCCATCCATGTCCCAGGCTGTGTGGCTGCTTTCACGTTACAATGGCAGAACTGACGTGTTGCAAAAGAGACCCATTGACAAGACCCAGAGCACCCACAGTGTCTAAAATCTTCGCTATTTGGTTCTTTGCACAAAAAGTTTGCCAGGCCCTCTGTAGATCAGTGCTTTTTAAACTTCAATGAATAAACGAATTCTGTGGGGATCGATCTTACTAAAATGTAGATTTGAGCTGGGGACTTTGGGATAGGGCCTGAGATTCTGCAGGTCCAGAAAGCTTCCAGGTGTTGCTGCTGCTCCAGGGGAGCCCAGAGCGCTGGAATGTGCTCTAACGGGGCGACACGGAGGACAAAGCTTGCCCTCACTGGGGGATGGGGCAGTATTCTTCCATTCTGCTATGCATGTTACCTTGAACTCCATTAAAAAAAGAGCACAATGATCTCTTTCAGGTCTGCCTGTCCACACTTGACCCCCACAGAGATTTTGCCTGCATGGTGAAAGGACCCAGAGCGTCTGCCTTGCGCTGAGGCAGGGAGGGCTAAGGGGCTGTGCTGGTGCGGTGCCTCCAGCCACCCTGGCTTCATGTACAGAGAGCTCTCTGTAGTTATAACACGTTCAAAGCCCATTTGGAATTGCGCGGACAAAATGCACAAGTCCCACTGAGTTAGTTAATTGTGCCAGCCTGGCCGATAATCACATGTGGGGCTGGTTGAAAGGTGGAGGGATAAATGGGTGGTGAAGCCTCGCCTTTCTAGTTCCCGGGTCTCTTGTTTTGTGATGGTTGCATCGGGTGCAGCTGCCTTAGCAGTTCCCTGCTTCAGCTTGCAAGATTGACTTCCTCCAAGACATCCCCAAGGAGAAGCCGCATGGATCTATCCCGATGCAGCCCTGGGTGCTGGAGCAGCCGTGTGGAGACCCTTGCCAGTGCTGAGATGCTTACACGTTCACTGACTCAGCTTTCCTCCTGCAGTCGGCATCTTTGCCTCTGTTTTGTGAGGTGGAGGACTTTGTGGACTGGTGTTGGGTATGGGTTAATGTTGGACTTGTGGGCTTGGGCAGCATTGGGTTGGGATGTTTTCGTGATGCACATTTTCTTTGTATAAAACTCTCTCTTATACGTGAGTTGCTGTGGATTTGTTTCTCCAAAGTACCTAGACTAATACACCCACACACAGTGGTGAGGCACAGAGCAGATGGAGATGAACTAAAATGGCATAAAGCCCTTTGCCGCTTGCCTGTTCCCTACTCAATTATCCCTGCCATCTGAGAGCCTTCTTTCTCCGAGGCCGTATTAAACAACACTGCCCTCTCTTACTGTTATCTTCAGAAAGAAAACAGAGGACCCATGTCCCACTTGCATTTAACCTATAATTAGTGACAAATTTACATTTAATCATATGCCTCATCAGAGCAGAAGAGCCAGCAAGAATTTCTGACCCTCAATTTCTGACCCCTTTTAATGATCATTAAAGGAATTATGAATGGGTCATTACGAAACGGAGCACAGAGCAGGAGGCTCCCTAGATCTCTGTAAAGGATGCCTGCAAGAACAGCAACTTCCTTCTCTTTCAGTGGCACACTGACCAGCATTGCTGGTAAGTGGCCCTTCTGCCTGTGGTGAGCTTACTCTGGGTGGTAAGAAGAGAGAGCATCCATTTATGTACTGCATAATCCTTTCCCTACAACATTTCTCTAATTGTTCTGTTCCAAATTTTAAAGAAATGTGGTGTTTCCACATTTTGTATTTGTGTGAACCCTCATTGCTTTGGTTGCCCTGTGATTCCAGGAACTCAGAAAACATTATAAAAGTTCTAGAATCATCGCAAAGGTCATGTTTGCTGAAAAAAAGAAAGGAAAAACTCGCAACTTCAGGGTAGAACGTGTGTTGAGGGTAGAGTTCAGAGAAGATATTGTAAGGGGGAAGGCCACAAAGAGATTCCTGGGACTCTGGAGGAGCTTCATTCACATACATGATGAAAGAGGAAGGAAAGAGCATTGTTCTGACTGTCCTCAGGAGGCAGGAACAAGGACCATGCCAAGTTGTTCTATGACTTAGGGGCGGACAACTCGAACTTCCAACTAAACTCAGATTCACTGTCTATCTCCTCTGCACTGTACTCTGGCCTGTGGCCAACCTCGTATAAACAGCATCATCTGGCCTCCTCTGTCTACTACAGTGGTTCCCAACCTTCCTAATGCTGTGACCCTTTAATACATGTTGTGGTGACCCCCCCATTGCTACTTCATAACTATAATTTTGCTACTGTTATGAATCAGGTGACCCCTGTGAAAGGGTCATTCGACCCCCAAAGGGGTTGTGACTCACAGGTTGAGACCACTGGTCTACTTGCTCATGGTTTATCTGGCCAAGGAGGGGTATTAGGAAGAGACTGAGGAACAAGAAGAGCAAGAGATCATAGAATCGAATGCTAGGCTGCTTGTCTGCCCCAGTACTGTCTGGCTGGCCACTGAGCCCATTCCTAATCTTTTCCCCAGCCTATGCCTGTACTGCTGCGGGCAGATCCCCAGTCCTGGACTTCCCACGGAGGCCTCTTCCCTTGGGGGTTCCCTTAGCCTTCAATCATTCCTACAAACGTTCTTCAATTGCCTCTTTGGAGTATACCACTGGTTTCCACCTGGGGTCTTGATTTAGACATGGGGACAGATGCAATGACAAATGAGAATTATAAAGCACAAAGTAAAGGAAAACGCATTGTTGTTCGGTGATGCTGATTCATGGTGACCCCATGCGTGAGTAGAACTGCTCCTGTCACTTTGTTCACGGCTGTTATCTCTCAGAGGCAGATCACCAGGCCTTTCTTCTGAGGTGTCTCTGAGTAGGTTCAAACCACCAATCTTTCAGTGAGTATTCTAGTGTTTAATCATTTGTGCCAGGGATTCTCACGAGGGCATGGAGGCCAGTGCCAATCAATCAATCAATCAATCAAACCCCACACCCATACACAAAGTAACAACAACAAGAAGAATCAGGCCAGAGAGCCCTACCACAAACCAAACCTTATCCAAAGCCTCTTTTCCCTCAACTTGCCAACCAGAAAATAAGACGAAACGTAAAACCCCTCAATTCCCAGTAGCCCCACCACTGCTCATCTGAGTTGCTCTCTCAGCCACTTGTCCCTGGCAGGGAGCTGAGGTCGGATCTTGCTGCCACAGGGTTCCAGAACTCGGCTGGCTCCCTCTCCTTGTGGTCTGCAGGCTCAGGGGCTGGGAGAGGGGAGGGTACACTGGAGAGTTACTCACTCAGCCACTCGGTATATTGTAACAGGCACAGCAGTCAGTTCTCCGAGCCACCCTGACTTGGGTCACAGACGATCTGCTACATTTCCAGTGGACACAGAATTGACATATAGGAGGCACCTGACAAATCTGATTAAAACAGCTGTGTGAATGAAGATGAATGGCCTAGGCTTGGAGCTGGAAGTATCCTTAGCAACCAGATCCCAGGCTATTAAATATCAATCATCCACAGAGCTGATCGATTGATTCTTGAGAGATAGGAACAGAGACTCCAGTCTTCTCTAGCATCTCCTCTAATATTTGATTGGAAGGAAGGTCAAGAATGTTTGTTTTCCCTTTATATCTAGCTCAGATTTCCTCGATTTGGTTCACAATGTGCCCAGCCCTAAGCTTAGTACTGTGGATACCAGGCCACAGGCAGGACTTGTACTTCAAAGGACCGTGCCTCTCTGGAGAAGGCAGGGGATACCTTTATATTAGGCCAGGAGACACTTCAGGAAACAAAGGGTCGACAAAGGAAAGTGGCTTTGATACTGAGCCTTGGGGACTGGATAAATTTGCAAAAGCAAAGAGAAGAGGAAAAATGAATTGTATGGGTCAGAAAGAGCAGAGCAAGTACCACCTGCAATTCAAGAAATTCACAGGGAGAACAGTTCACCGAGAGCAGTGACGTTTGCGAGATCTGAGATTGGGTTCCATCTTCCCCCACAAAAATCCTGTGGCTCTCAGCTGCACAGGAGAGAAGGCAGGATCCAGAGAGCTGGGGAAACGATTTCGAAGAGACCATCAGAAAGATGGTGAGGTTCACTATTCTTTCTTGCCCTAACAGGAGCAGCACAAGGAAAAGGAGTAGATGGGTAGATATTGACAAACACACATAATTGTGAAGTAAATTTTTGTTTCATTTCATACTGGGCTCACCCTGATCAAGAAGTTTCTAGGTAAACATTTTGGGATGTGCTTCTGCAGAAGTTTTGGTTACAGAAATCTCTAGAACTGTAGCCCCTTCCAGTTTGCAGGGAGCAATTTAGAGGCTGATTCTGAAACTCTCACCACAGCAAAATGCAATCGTCACAAGCTGACACCAGGAAAAGGCTTAGAACTGAGAGCAAACAGCCGTCTGGAGCGGGTGACGGAAACTATAGGAGGCACTAAGGACTCACAACAGGTAGGTTCTGGGTCTTTGAACCCAGAGCCCAAAGACTCAGGGTTCTGCCAGGTTGACCTGCCAGGTCACATATGTAATTATCTGAAGAATGATTGGAATTACAGATTCAATTCCTTTTGTTACTTGGAAGGTTTCTAAATCACTTTTCACCACCCACAGGAGAACATGCTTGGAGATTGTGGCAAGGAAATTAATATTAGCCAGAACAAAACATAATATATAGAGAATATATAATTAGAGGAAAAGGGAGGATGAGGAGAACAGGAGAGGGCAGTTGCATCTAAGAGTAAAATACTGAATTTTTACTTATCTGCAGTTTGGTATATTGATACAACCATTTCTCTCCCATCTAACACATGGGTTAATGAAATGGAAAACAGCAGAGATACCCTAGAAGCCCCTCATCTCCAATCATGGCTCGCTCACCCAGCCCTCCTGCAGCCAACTCCAGTCAGCGGGAGGAGCACAGGGATCCTGAACGGCTACTCCCTAATATCCTGGCTGACCCACAGAGAAGAAGTGTCTCACCTGGGTTTGAGAAGGCCTGAAGGCAGAGTCAAAACCATTCTGCAGGGAGTCAAGGAAGGGCTGGACCTTGTAGAGGCCATGTGTAGTCTGGCTGGAGCGGAAGGCCACAACATGGAAGTACTTAAGGATCTTCTCGAAGCGAGCCTGGCTCATGACCAGGGCGAGGCTCCTGTTGCTATAGAAGCCGCTGCTCCAGATGCTGAGGACAGACTCGCAGTGGTAGATGCTGGTGGAGATCATGTAGCCCAGGAAAGCCTTCATCTCTGCCAGGCTCACCTCCACCCAGGCCCCATCACTCCCAAACCGCTCCTGGTACTTCTTGGCATACATGTTTGTCTGCACCACCATGTTCTTGAGGACATTGTCGGGGACAAAAAGTTGGAAGAAGTCCATGGCGCTGGCACTGGGGGGCATCTTTTGAGTTGGACCTAGAACCCAAAGACAGGACGAGGGCTTGTGACTAAAATCATCATGGCTCCCTGGTTAACACAAGAATAGTCACCATCTCTGGGCTTTCATTCGCACTGTCCCTTTAGTGGAACGCCAGCGCCCACTCATCCTCCAGAATGAGCTCACACACTCTTCCCAGGCAACTGGCCCTCTCCACTCGCTCCTCTACATTCCTCCCATGGGTGCAGATAGCTTCACGTAGCCACCACCATCCAGGGGAAGCCCCTCCACACTGCACAGACCACATCAGGCAGCCTTCCTGAAGCCTCTGCTCCCCGGGAATTCAGAATTCAATTCCTTACAAGTCTAGACAATTAAATACACATTGATCCAAATAGAAAGGGCTAAATAAGAAGAGAGGAGGAAAGGTAATAAAATATATTTAACTTTTACCATAGCAACTTGTTTGTATTCTTATAAATTAAAGTAACTTGAGCCCTGAACATTTTCATTTACCTAAGATAGCCATTTTTATTAGGCATTGAGCTAACTTTAAATTTATCAGTGAAAACTTCTGAAGGTGCTTATTTCGAGCATTTAAAAAATGTAGTAAAAACCTCACACTTTTTTTTACTGATGCAGGGCTACGTCTTCGAAATATATTTAAATGTGAATAAAACCAAAATCCTAAACCAAATCCAGTGCTATTGAGTCAATTCCAACTCATAGATAGACCCTACGGGCCAGAGGAGAACTGCCCCCATCAGACTTCCAAGAGTGCTAATCTTCATAGACGCAGACCGCCACCTGTCTGCCGCAGTGTGGCTGCTGAGTTCCAGCTGTCAACCTTCCGGCTGGCAGTTGAGACAGAGTGACATGAGCAACTATTGACTCGTAGAGCTGACAAAAGAGCTGACCTATGCTTGCCACCTGAGACCAGGATTTACCCCTGATCTGCACCTGTGCCAAGGCCCATTGCATTGATTCCTGGAATAGAGGACATCGGCAACACCTGCAAAGATCAGTTTTAAAAATAACCAGTATGTTAGCAGGCATTTGAGTAAATACCAAAACCTATATACCCAAACTCCACTCGCTGTCATACTTCATACGTAGTAGATACTGTGTTCTTATCCTACTGCCTGGAGGTATTTAGAAAACTGGAAGCTAGTGTCTGACTACCCAATAAGCCAGGCAGGCATGGGTTTACTTGTACGCTAATCTGTATTGAACAATTTTACATCTTTCACATAAAAAGTCTGCTACTAGGTACGATGTATCTGTCTCTCTCCCAACCCATCAGCGCCTTCGTGCAGAATTAAAGCCTCTTCAAATGTACAATCCCTTCCCAGGGACAGCGGACCCAGTAAGCAAGGTAAGCACAAGTTTACTTGTGATGACTTTCTACTGTTCACTACAGATTAGTAAATAAATTTGTTTCTGAACGAAGGCTTTGGTATTCATGAAGCCTTTATTAAAATGAAACTTCGGGGTCATACCTAATGGCTTTCTCAGTTGACACCAGAGCTTTGGACTGGTTCATTTTGGTTCAATCCTCTGCTGAGAATTTGCCTTTCCATCCAGGACATATGGAATCAGAATGCTCATTCTAACAAGATCTTCAAGCGATTTCTATGTATGAATCGCCTATGTACAAATCACCTGTAGACCTTGCTAAAACATTCATTCTGATTCAGTAGATCTGGGATGGAAAAGCAAATTCTCAGCAGGGGGTGGGGGCAGACTGGAATGATTGGCTGTAAGCCCTGGTTGGCACTTTAATTCTAAATCTTGGCAGAGCGACAGCGTGTAGGTGAAAGAGGACAAAACAAAGGATGGAGATGCAGCACAGAGCTGGCCGAAAGAGTTGAGGGATGGCCAACTGCCTGGCCTGGCTTGACTCTCTGCCAATCCCTAGGCAGCATCTCTAGAAAGGACTCTTGCATCATTGATGCAGATAGGGTTCCTTCCTGCAAATGCTCACACTGATCTGATGAGAATGAGTAAGGGAAGAACTTTCATCTCTATCACCATCAGCCTAGAAAGTCGGTTCGTAGAAAACCTATCTTCCGAACTGCCTCACTGCGATCACAGCGATGCTGAGCCCTCGGGATCCCCTGTGGGTTTCCGAGACTGTAACTGTTTACAGCAGTGGAAAGCCCAGTCTTTCTCTAAGGAAGATTCAAAAGAGTCAAGATTTGTGGGGAAGTCTGGCAACCTTTCTTGCTGCCCATATTCTGATTTGAAGGGTTTTCAATTGGTGAGGCATCTTTCATGTTATTAGCACCTAAATGTAACGGAACTGAAACTCACTGCCACTGAGTTGATTTCAACTCAAATTAACTGTGCTAGTTAAGGTTGATTGTGCCAACCTGGCTGATAAACACGTGGGATTATTTGAAGGGCAGTTTAATTGAAGGGCGGGAGATAAATGGCTCCGTGAGCCTAGCCCTTCTGTTTCTCTGGTCTCTTGTTCGCTGATGGTCGGACCAGGGTGTGACTGCCATAGCTGGCAAGGCTCACTTCCTGCAAGACATTCCTGAGGAGAAGCCACATGGGCTTACCCTGATGCACCCCCTGGGTGCTGGAGAAGCCACGTGGAAACCCCTGCCAGTGCTGGGATGCTTACACTACCACTGGATTCAAAGACTTTCTACCCACTGGCCTGTGATCATCCTGCATTCGGCGTCATTGTGTGTGTGTTTTGCGAGTTTGAGGAGGACTTTGTAGATCGGTGTCTGACATATGGGCTTGGACTGGACTGGGTTGGGATGCTTTCTGAATGTACACTTACCTTCTATATAAAACTCTCTCTTACATACATATGAGTTTCTGTGGATTTGTTTCTTAGTCTACCCAGACTAACACAGTAACCATCGAGGACAGAACAGACCTGCCACTTTGGGTTTCTAAGGCTGTACATCTTTACTTGAACAGATAGCTTTATCTTTCTTTTTCAGAGCAGCTGGTGGGCTTGAACTGCTGACCTTGAAGTTAGCAGCAGCTGCCAAATGTGTAACCCACCATGTCACCATAGCTCCTTATAATAGCAACTAAACAGCTTCCTAACTAGGCTCACAGGTCAATCTAACCTAGTAATTTGGTTTTTCTGTGAATGCTGCACTACAGTGTATCCTCTTTTTCTATCATAAACACCATCAGCTTTCAGTTACTGGGTGCACAGGATTAGAAATGCAGCTGCCTCGTGTGTTGGGAACAATTCTCCCTACAAGGCCCATGTGCTTATCTCTCATACAGTTATGACACAGCATTTTGTTTGTGTGGCTTCTTTACAATGATTGCCTCTTCCTTTCCTGTCTTCCCTGTTCCAACCCACCTCTTTGCTGGCTACCACTTTGTTCATAGCTCCCAAGGCTGCATCTGTTTAGAACAGCATCCGAGAGAGGAACACAGGAGTCAGGCCGACTTGGGCTCAAATTTGGGCTCTGGCACTTGATGGGTGTCCCTGGACAATTTGTTCTCTCGCTTGTAAAGTAGCGCATAGAGATGTGGCACCCCCTTGTAGAAAAGGGTGCTGTTACCTTGTGTTCATCCCTAGTGGAGTTCTTGGCATATTGTCAGTAATAAATAGATGCTTTGTCCTCTCCGCACACCGGACACCTCAAAATTAGGCACCGTGGAAAACTAAAGAATGTTCCATAGAGGCTTCCTTCCTAAACGAACCTGTTTGGGGGTTATTGTGCATGAAGACCAAGAATGGACAGAGCTTGAACAAATCTGTTGGGAATAAAACAACTCTCCCTTTGGGATCCTGTTCCTAATTTCTCTTAAACAATAAAATCCATGCTGCCAAAGGGGTTGTGTCTTCATTTCCCCAAAGAACAAGTGTTTATTAAACATCTCTAATTATTTGCACTTCAGGTCCACCTGGCTCCTTCTATAGACCCAAGGCTGGCTACTAACTGACTGTCCCAGACAGAAGTGCTCTCTTGCCTGTGCTGGCCCTCCACGCCGGGCATGCTGTCCTAGAGGCCTTCACTTTGTAAGAACCCTGCCCTAAAACAGAATCATCTACGTTTAGGATAAAATAACAATGCCATTAGACTGGGCCATAGAAATACGTTTGCATTACAAAGCTTCAATTGCACATTGGGAAATACAGGTCCCTGGCTGAGCTTGTTCTATTATAAACCATCTGAAGTGTTTGGTAATCTGAGCTCAATGTATTGCTGTTCCTAGGTGCTGGCCGGTCAGTTTCAACCACACAGGCTAGAACAAAACACTGCCCAGTTATTGGCCTTCCTCACAATTGTTGCTGTGTTGGAGCCCATTGGTGCAACCACTGTGTCAACGCTAGATGGCTGTTAAAAGGAGACTCAGAATCTGTGACTGCACTGGCCCTGTACAAACCCAGAGGAGAAAAGATGTTTCTGAGGAATATCAGGAAAAGTATTCAGCCAACCAGCACTTACCAAGCACCCACTCTGCAAAACGGGTCCACCCTATGCTGTGGAACAAGCCTGCCAGTTTAGGTATAGGGGCAGAGCACATATTAGCAGGTCCATAGATGCCTCTTTGGTTTCTCAGCCATGTGTGTTGGGCAGTGTGGTTAGTGTTGTAGGAGACATGGAGTTGGGATTCTTTCAGTAAGCCAGAGCCTGGTCAAGAACATTGGTCCTGGAGCTGTATCTGAGGTTCAGTGCAGCTCTACCACGTAATGCTGTGTGACCTGGATGAGTTATTGCATGTTTCTGTGGCTCAGTTTACTTGGTGCTAGTGTATGGATTAACATTCATGGAGTTCTCCCAGGGTTGATATGAAGGAATAAGTATCATTTATAAAGTATAGAACACATATGCCTACATAGTATGTGCTATGTTTGTTAAATAGAATCAATATAATGATTGGTATTTATTAAGAACTATCCCATCCCCATAGCAAGACTCTGAAGGTAAACTCTAGAGTGTGGTCCAGAGAAGACACTACTACTAGAAAGAAAGGGACAGCAGGGCCTGGAAGACCAACATCACAATGAACTGGCACATTGGCCACCCTCCACGCACACACCAACC